TCAGACGTTCAGTTTATCGGTTAAACATAAAAACAGCAAAAATCATGTCACTTTTTGCAAACATAATTATAGAGCCAAGGGCAAATGTTGTTCCACTCTTTAACCCTTTTATTTCTGACATGGACCATTGTTGACCTAGTTTTAACTAGTGAAAAATAAATATACTAACATGTATTTGAAATACATTTATTTCATGTTAAGTATATTACAAATATATACACATATTTATGTGCTTAATAAAAATAATAATGTTAAATAAATGTATGCGCTTAATAATAAAAACCCTGCAATTATACTTTTTTTTGTATACCAAACCAGTATACTTGATGTCTGCTTAATTGGAACAACAAATTTTGTACTTAATGCACTTTAATTGTGCGGAAGTAGTGCTGAAGTCCAACTAAAGATATACGGAAGTATATTTGATTGTGCTAAAGTGGAACTATTGCAAGTATACTTCAGGTACACTTAAGTGCATATTTTGCACTTAAAAACCAATATTATTGAAAGATCATTCAATTAAAACACATTCTAGGCTTAATATTAAGAAATGTGCATTGTGCACAAGAAGTACTACAAATAAAGTTTAATTATAATTTTTATATCAGTATGGTCTCGAGCGATATGTCAGTAAATATGATAATAGATGTATTTAAAATATATTTATTTTTTACTAGGGTTGACTATTGGAAATATCTTGATTGAGTGAACTTTGCCATTACAACACACTTACCATATCAGATTTCTTTATATTAATGTACAACCCTAGTTTGTATTCATTTTGGGGTGTGTTTAATTAAAACTATAAACTGCAACATACTAATGTGCTCACATTTTCCTTTCACATTTCTTTTGTGGGTATCAGGTGTTCAGCAGTAAATCACTTTCTCAGCAATAGTTGAAATGGTCAGTATACAACTCCCACTAAAGCTATGCACCTCATGCTTTGTAAAAGGTCTGCTAGTTTGGGAAGAACTGGCCTTTGATCTGGCCTACATGACTTAGTCTAGCAAACACACAACGGCTACTCTCTCTCTCTCCCTCTTTCCCTCTCCCTCATTCCTTTCTTCTGTCTTTCTCAATTTGTTGCAGTGTTCAGGGGTGTCAAAGGACCCGAGCTGTGACTCTAAAGAAGAGACGGCGAGTGGGACATACACATCGGACGCTCTGACAATGCCGGCTCAGGTTCCTGTGAGTTTGCCATGGCGACCAGTGGGCCCTGACAGCAGCGGGGATCACGGTCTTGCAGAGGAAGGGTGTGTATGTGTGTGTGTGTAGTTGAGGGGGTGTGGGGTTATTGGGGGACACACGCCAGATGCCTTGGGGAGACGCCCTTCAGCTCACCAGCTGGGAGAGGCTAAACTGCCCCTCACGCGACGGTTTTCGGCCTTAACGGATTAGAGTGTTTGTTTACGGCACACTTTGGCTATCATACGCTCACCAACACAAAAACAATGATAATATAAAATAGCGCTTTTCAGCTGGTTTTGTTTCAGGACACAGATTTTACAGTAGACGTGATGTGGTGACACAAAACTGTAGCAAAATTGTTTATCGTGTAAAAAAATAAAAATGGTCTTAAAGTTACCAATCGAATCAAAATGGTCAATTCTTATTTATGGAGTATTGGAATTTTATTATAAATTAAATTAATTCATAAATAAATACTTCCCCTTACATTCTTAATAGTAAAGATCACAATAGGGGTTTTCACAGCAATGCCATAGAATAACTATTTTGGTTCAATTTTGAAATTAAAAAAAACATTTTGGTTCCCCAAACAACCTTTTAGCAAAAGTTTCTTAAAAGAACCATTTTTTTTACTTAAAGAACATTTTAAAAATACAAAGATCTTTTTTCCGCTCTAAAGAACTTTTTGTGGAATGGATAGTTTCCAAGGACTATTAAGGTTCCTCATGGAACCATAGATGCCAATAACATTTTTTTTTTTTTGGAAGTGAAACAATAATTTCATCCCTCCAACAACCTGTAATTCACATGAAATTGAAGAACGACAATGATCTAATCGGTTCCCGATGGACAAAATTAAGTCCCGCCCAACATTTTTTTTTTCATTCAAGAAGCCATTTCTTTTGGATATGTGTCAAAAAAAGAGCAACTAATGTTATGCTTCATGCTGACTTTAAAATCAAACATTGACATTTATCAATATTAGCCTAAACAATAATGACATCGACTGAACAAGAAAATTGTTGTTTGATATGTTTGATGAATTCGATAGTTTCACGTTCCCAACATTTAATAATTCATGCGACTGAAACACAGCCGGTGCAAACCATGTTCATCCTGCAAACTATATTTAATATAGTCTACGATGCATTTAATTTACCTTGCAAAATTTCATTCATGGTTCTCGAAGATAAGAGCATTTCATGCAAACTGTCCATGTTAGCATCCCTACCAAAATGCTGCTAAGTTTGATTTTGAAGACAGCATGAAACAAAAATTTACTGTATCTATTTGCATGTTGTTAATCTTATTGTGAATGTAAACAATTCACCAGTGCATTTTTTGACCTGGTAATTAGAATGTCACAATGTAACCATGGTGACGTATTCCGTCCCTTTACAATCTTCTGCCAGCTCCAGTCCAATCAGCAACTGATGGATATAACCAAGTCTCCACTCTATATTTTCCGTTTTGATAATCCATTATTACACGCGTCACAATATGGAAGAAAAGATCTGTTGCTACTTCTGAGACTTTAACAAAAAAGATATGCAAAGCCTTTTTCTTTTCCTGCCTAAAAATTACAGCAAATGTATTTTGCATTTAGCATTGTTTTGATTCTGCCACATTTGATTAGAATTGACCTGCGACCTACTTTTGGGTCGCAATCCACCATTTGAGAACCACTGATAATGCTCAGTTTAAACCCAACCTCTTTGTTATTGACTAGCATCACAACAAAAACGCAATGGACCGACTGGGTAATCTCTGCAGGCAACTGTGATGTGATTTCAGTCTCACATTGACCTGTAGGGGTTGAGTAGTCTGTTTACACCCAAAACTACATCAGCTGCACCTGAATCTGCCTTATACTTCAATACTACATCTCTGCTAATCTCAATGCTAAGATGCTAATCTGTTGTTTTGCAATAACCGCTTAAATTTACACTAAAATGATCAAACATGCATCTTATACTGTACAGAGGAGCTAAAGAAGTTCGTAAATGTATTACCATCTCTGGGACGCGAACATCTGCATCTGCTGGAGGACTCCGGTACTGGCGGCTGAGTTTTGGCATAATCTCAGCTGGCAACTGTGAGTAGTGTGTCACCCCTCTCACAGGCGCTGCTGGGGTTCTGTCACACACAGCACTCGCACACCATGATGAAATAACATTGGTCTCCATCGGACAGAAGAGAGCAACCTGTGGAAATGAAGTCAAAGTATAATAGAATTACGCTGAAATCTGTGGCAAGGCTGACATTTAAATGTTTAAAGTGTTTGTTATTCATTCATAATATTATTAGCTCACAGACCAATTCCTTACTACAAGCCATCCCTTCACCTGTGAGAACTTTCTGATGTTGGTGATACTGCATCAGGAACTGATTGGATGATATCTAGGAGCCATCAGTTCTTGATGCACTCCCTTCAGCATCGAAAGAGACACCCGCGGCGAGTCTTTTAACTTTTACAATCCAGTACATGGATGTCAGTGAACAGTATTAAAGTGTAAGTGAGATGATACTGTAATTGTTTTGAACAATTTATATAGATATTAAAGATGCTGAATGTAATTACCTATCCGCTAGCGGCAACAAACATAATTTATAGGCCTAATCTGTTTGTTTGAGTGGCCAGATATAGTACTGTTGCTGTATTATTGCTGTGGTTATTTGTCTTACTTGTAGAGTTAAACGCATCATATGACACATTGTACATTGTTTTGTGCTTTACTTCTTCATAACGAGTTTTCCACTGTTTTCAATAAAGTTATACTTTACATTTTTTCTGAATATAAATGATCTCTGCTCTTCATATGACACCAGACCTTTAACTTTAACTAAGAGATACAGACAAACCACAAATTATTCAGACATAATTTGTGATATTTTTTACTAGTGGGTGCAGGACACTATAGTTTATTATAAGTGAGGATAGCAAAATAAAGTAAACTATGACATATTATACCCAAAAAGTCTTCATACAGTGAACTATAAAAAAGTTGGGACCAAAAACTATTCAGACACTTTGACCTGACCATGTTTTGCTGAAGTGTTTTTTCTTTAATAGCTAATGAACCTTTTTACACCACAGACTGAACAAAATTAAGCATTGCTTGGTAGTTCGTTGACCTAAAGTGGTATTATCTAATTGTGTACTTAAATTTAACAGCTGACAGCTTTTAACCGAATTCATTACTTTCTATCAAAGTTATCTGACATGATCAAGATTTTTGTTCTGACAGTTTAACTCTTGAGTTCTTGTCATAGTTTATTACCACGTTCTAAACTATACCGAATAAACTGTAATAATGTGAGAAATGTTGAAGGTGTCTGAATAAATTTTGGTTGGACTGTACCATTGTTATTTTTATACATACAATAGCCCCATAAAGTATTCTAACACTTACAGTTAGCCACACTTAAAATGTCAGAATCTCACTGCATTAGAGGATAAAATATCTATAAAAATGAGTTTTGTTTTGTTTTTAAATGCCATTTCCCATGCTATTTGGTTAGGCATTTTACATTTTAAGAGTGGCCTCGATATTATGCGGTCAGTCACAGTTTTTGCCTGAGAAATGGTACAGCGCCCTCTGCCGGTTAACTTCATTCATTGAAACAGTCTGAGCTGTAGAGGACTGTTGAGTAAACATTAAAATTCTGAATTTTTATATAGTCGAGCCTGGTTGGTATATGCAATACAGAGAAAATACATTTTATATTAACGATTGAAATAGCAAAAAGATGCACTGCATCTGTCACGAGTTTAACAACTTTAATGAGCGCTACAAGTAGCGTGTGCTGCTGTTTATTATCCTAGTGGCCACCAAATGCCATTACCACTGATCAGCACATGTAGTAACTTGCTTCACTCTGCTTTGAGGTCACTTTTAAAATTGTATGCAGTTTGAGAGCGTCAAGATTGTAGCATTGTCCTTCAAACAACATCAGTTGAACAATTTAAGAGTTGAAAAACACTGGCAGCTCATATGAGCTCGAAGGGAGGCCGAATCAAACGCACCAAAAATGTGCGTAATTTGGATTCGCATGATGCGCCTTCACTAGCGCAATCAATAATCGATGAGCAGCCAAATATTATACCTGCCGGGCGACAGTTAGAGAGGACACCTCCATCTAAAAGTGAAAGAGTAACAACAAGCCCCCCCAGCAAACCAGATGGTTCTCCAACGTCAGAACAAGTGGTCAAAGATGAGCCATGCGGCCAGGTAAACAAACAAACAAACACAACGATGGAAAAAACCAGCATATGCTGGTTAGGTATGTTTTGATGCTGGTTTAAACCAGCAAAGGACCAGCATAAACCAGCAAAGGACCAGCTTAAACCAGCATCAAAACATACCTAACCAGCATATGCTGGTTTTTTCAACAGGGGTATCAGTGGGCCGTTCGTGTTTCTCATATACAAATACAAATGTGTATGGATATATAGCTTTTAATACACATTTTCTTTTCGTTTATTCCTATTTTATCATGGTAATATTTTGGCCTGTCCAAATGTCCTGAATATTTTGGCCTCATGCGTTTCCAACATATAAGAAATTGATTGATAGGCTTAATCCATATGAGCAAAATTCTAAATATTATTTCTACTCTATGGCATAAGAATAATTAAATAACTCTGAGATTAAACAAACCAAAAAATATTATGTCTGAATATTTGATATTATTAATAAAATAATGTACTGTAGTAATATATTATTATAAGTCATAATTATTAAGGTTATTCAACGTTGTAATTTTTGGGAGTCTTGTTTAATTGTTAAGCTACAAATTTCTCACTTGAGAATGAGAAAAGTTTAATTATTAATCAAATAATACACTGTTGTTGTTTTTTTACAACCCCACCAAATTCATTTAACTTATTAAATTGACAGTTGTCGATATCAGTCAAAAAAGAAAACTAAACATTTACATTAATAAATATGAAATGAAAGCTAGAATTCTCTCTCTCTCTGGTCTTTCAAAATTTTAAATGTATTAATTTGGCTTAGGATGAAAGTATGCAATTTATTAAAACATTTATTTTAAATGTCATATATTTAGTAATCACTTCATAAAAGTTCTTAATGAGTTAAAATGTATTTTCAAGGAAATAACTAAACCTACTAAAATCTTTCCAAGGAAATAACTAAACCCCTTTCTTGCAATGGATCAAATGAAGTTCTCCAGCACCCTAAAGTTAAAGATGAGAGGAAGTCGGTCAAGAGGTCTAGTTCTACCGCTGCATCAGGTGATTTCATATACTCACTGACATAAGCAGTCATATTCACACATCTCTCTATGTTCTTATATTTGTTAGTAATGGTACCGCACCACATATACTCACTGTTTCTTGTTCAGTATAATTGAATTGCTTTAATATTCACTTTCATGACTGTCCAGCAACCCCTGGGAATCCTGATCCTGATCCTGAAATCTTCATCCAGGGAATGCAGGGATACAAATGGACAGACACAGACCTGGAGTTTGTCTATCAAACCAAATGGAAAAAGCGAGTTCAACAGGCACAGGTCAATGAATGCATATTTTTGGATGGAATATTAGTGTACTGTATAGTATACACTAAATACTGCGTACTATTTTAAAAATTACTACATGTTGTGCAGTGTTAAACATTTCCAATTATATCAACTGCTGTCCAGTTATCATCTCAGAAAAATCTCAGCTTAATTGCCATATGTTTATTCCAATATTTACATCAAATTTTGTTTAAAACCACTGTCTATATTACTTATTAATTTGCATATTGAGATTTGTGCAAATATAGTAGGCCACCTGCTATTATGTACACATAGAAATTTTGCATATTGCACACGGTGTACATACAAAATGTCACATCCTCCTTATTTTCCCGTTTACGCTTAAACTGATCATTGTCATTAACTTTTCCTTTTCATCTTGAGAATTAAATTGAACCAAGAGGACATTTTCATGACAATTTGGTTTACAGCAAGAGTTAAGCGACTTGCAGAAGTCTCTGAAGAGCATGAAACAAATGCGGGACATGGGCTTTGCTGCGCTTGACAAAATACAAACAGAGCTTTCTAAGGTAATACATGGCGCTTTTATAATGCATTTTGTCACTCCATACCCACCATTTTCATAATGTGATGCTTGTGAAACACCTGTCTGATCTCAATATTTGTGGCTCTGGTGTTTGAGGTGGCGTCGTGTCAACGTTTACAGCAAATTTCCATGGAAATACTTCTGAGGTCCCTGAGCTCTAGTCAGCTGGAAGGGCTTGATCTTAAAGCTCTCCTTGCCAAGCTAAAGGTTGCTGATGTGCACTGCACTACTGCTGAGGAGAAGGCAGAGTTCAGCAAACTCAAGACAGAGCTGGAAAAAGCACAAGTATCGAGGTATTATCCAGACAGCTCGCACACAATGAAAGAATGGCTTTTCTAGTGGTACTTACCCATACAAAACTCACTAGCATGATGCTAAAATGTTGCCATGTGGTTGCTGGAGTGTTCTGGGTGGTTTCTTAGCCCCAAGTCTTCTGTGTCCCAACTTGTATGTCTGTAAGATGTTTTGCCAGTTGTATTGTCCACCAGAAGAAAACCGTTTGCTCAGTCGCTAATTTATCAGTTCCACATGTCTTCTCAACATGCTAAAGTTGTTGCTGCAGATTAGCAGTGTGTAGATTTTTGATACATCTACATTCATTTTGTTTGCAGAGAAAAGGAGGAGCGACTCATGAAGGACATTGACAGCTATAAGGAGAACATCAAACAAATCAAGGTAACTGCTAGCAAGAGCACATCCTCAGTCATTGTTGGAAATGTGTATATTTTGAACGTTTCGCACTTAAGATGATCCTTTTTTTTTTGTGGGAAGGTAAACGTAGATACGCTGAAAGCAGAAATATCTGCTCTGGAATCCCAGCTGTCCGGTAAAGAGGTTAGTGGATCACTTTTGACTACCGTTTGCTGTGTCCTAGCTGATACTTTTAGTACTTAGCAGACATTCAAACAGAATGAAGGCCTGTTACGACAATGACAATAACTATAATGGCAACTATAATTTTAATAATCATTCTAAATTAGAGGAACTTTCCACACAGCTGTAACGCTAACAGAGGAATTATATCATTGGAAACACTTATAGAACGTTATTTTCCAGCTAAGGAATGATAAAAACATTGACAGCCAATCAAAATCCACCTGACTTTGAAGAGTTTGAGCAGTGGCAGACGACAAAACTGCAGCGCGCGCTTATATAACAAAACATTATACTCTGTCTATGAGAACGCTAATATAGTTATCGCTCTTGGTGTGAACGGACCTTTAATTTATACCTACACATTTTTAGTCAATGAAATTTGCTTTTGACTCTTGTAGGAGACACCACAGTCAACTAAACCACGGCGAAAAGGCCACAGAGGCACCAAACCCTCTACTGCCCCTAAATCCCCTAAACCCCCTTCAAACCCCAAACCTTCCGCCTCTTCTCCTGCTCCAAAAACCTCCAAACCTTCTCCTGCTGATCCAAAAACCTCCAAACCTTCTCCTGCTGATCCAAAAACCTCCAAAGCTCCTCCTGCTCCAAAAACCTCCAAAGCTCCTGCTGATCCAAAAACCTCAAAACCTTCTCCTGCTCCAAAAACCTCCAAACCTTCTCCTGCTCCAAAAGCCTCCAAACCTACTGCCACCCTGAGAGCCCAGACTGCGTCCAAACCTCCTGCCTCACCTCCTGCGCTAAAAACCTCCAAAGCTCCTGCTCCAAAACCCTCCAAACCTACTTCTGCTCCTCTTGCACCAAAACCCTCAAAACCTCCTGCCACCCCAAAAGCCCAGACTGCCTCCAAACCTACCACTGCCCCAGAAGCCCCGGAGGGTGATGTCAGAGGCCTCCGCCGCTCGAAAAGAATCGCTGGTAAGAAAAAGTAGTGAAGAATCTACTCAGAAATGCTCCTGATCAGTTCATTCCTCCAGCTCAGGAAGTTGTCTTCATATGTTCTTACTCCCATTCAGGACAGACCTCTTTTTGAAAACGTTTTAATTTGCAATGGTGTAATTTACAGTAGGCTTTTAGATTTGGAGTAGTTTGGTGCCCTCTAGTGGATATGTTGAGTTTAGCATTTAGGGACACTCAATGGTGGAAATCAGATGTAATTCTGTCTAATGGTATAACCACACATTAATGTAGTTTTTTCGATACTCCACATGTTAAGAGTGTTTTTTTTTTCTTTGGAGATGAATAAACATTTGTTTTCAACCCTCTATAAAGCCATCTGGGTTGTGTGTTGTAGAAGGAACATCTGAGAGTTGTCATATTCAGTGTTGGGGAGTAACTAGTAACATTACATAATTTAATTACAAAATAAATGTAACCGCAATAAATATCAGCTGTTTTAACAAATTTTAACAATTTACTCCTGGAGCCATATTGAAATTCCAATATCTCTGGAACCGAACCATATAGGGCCTTAAAAATGAAGATACCAAAAGGAAAGTTTCTTAAGACCCAATATCTATAAGGGCATTAAGATATCCTCAGTACTTCTTGAGTTTCAGCCATGCAAACTTTGGATAAAACAAAATGAAAAGTGCTGTTTCCCCATTTTTGAATGGTCACCATTGGCACATAATGCTACAAAGATTGCTAAAGTCAACAGATTTCACTAATAGACCTACCAATCTCTGTGTAAAATTAACATTATGATGCTGCCGTCTTTCTGAAGTCATTTTTAACCTCCTGTAATTTGACTCTGAATCTCAGGTGAAAATTGCCATTTTGACCCCCCCTCTACAAAATAGTGGATTACTCAGTAAATATTCATCCATGACATTTAATACTCTGGCTTTCAACACTATACTTGTCTGTCTTTCTTCAGAAAAAATATTGGCAAAATCTAAAATTTGAGCCGGGGACCTCTGGTTGAGTTGACACGGAATAACCCTACAGTTACTTATGAAAATGGTAACGATTACAAAGGGGGTTAACATCTGAATATTTTCACACGCACATAGATTTGATTGATTTCTTTACCAAATTGCATCGACTGCTATAAAATATGAGACACCAATGTTTCAGGAGTTTAGGACATATGCTTATTTGATAAGTTTTATTTCCTGTTTGGGTTGATGCACATATATGCTTTATTTTTTTTTAAGATTAACTGTTTTTTTCACAAGGAATTGTTAAATGCCAGTGTTTCCTGTCACAGCTATGCAAAAATTTGATTTCAAAAACTGTATCATAGCTACTATTTCTTGTTAAGTATTTAACCTCAGAACGATCTCAAAGTAAGAAGAGGTGCTAAAGTCTGATTTTGTTTTGGCTGCTTTAAAATGAAATGATTATTTTAATTCTAGTGAAGAAGGATTTTGAAAGTCTGACAGTGATCAGTGTTGAGTGCTACTGTAAGGTTAACCCTGCCTGCTCTAAATGTGTCAAAATGATTAACAGTTGAAAACATTTATTTGAAATGTACTCAAAGTAATCAAATATAATCAGTTACATTAATAAAGTAATTGAAATAGTTACACTACTTAACCTAATTATAATTATATTTCCAACACTGGTCATATTACATGCAACTCTCACAGATAAATTTCCATTCTGCTCAAACCGCCAGTGTCTAATTGCTAAATAACGTCCTACTGGAAAATCCAGCTTAAGGGGGTAGCTGTGTTTGGGAACATGCTGATTTCTAGCTGGTCCAAGCTGGTAGACCAACTTGGAACAGCAAAAAACAGCTGGTCGTACCAGTTCAGAGGGTTCATGCTGGTTTTGGGGGCACAGATGCTTAAACTGGATTTTCCAGCAGGGGCCTGCTTTTGTCTACAAACTGTTGGTTTAGCTATGTGGACTAATAATCCTAAAAAATAATATTTGGAAATGTTAACATATTTCAATTAACAATGCTTTTTGATTTTTTTCTATCGCAAAAGCATGTTCTGGGTGGCTGTGTTCTTGTTGGTTTGGTTTGGTTGATAGGGTGTTCTAGGTTGTTTTGAGGGTGTTGCTAGGGTGTTCTGGCTGGTTGCCACTTGCCAGTGCATTGCTTTTGCTTTGCAATTAATTACATGTTCTGAGTGGGTTAGCGTATTGCTGTTTGGTTGCTACTATATTCTGTGTGGTTTCTTGGACCTTGCTCGATGGTTGCTAGTGTGTTACTTAGTGGTATCTTGGGGTTTTTTTTCTGTCTAGTTTCTAGGGTGTTGCTTGGCTGTTCTGGGTGGTTGCCAGTGCATTACTCTGTGATTAAAGGGGTCATATGAAATGACAATGCTAAAATAACATTATTTTGTGTATTTGGTGTAATTCAATGTGTTTACGTGGTTTAAGGTTCAAAAAACACATTATTTTCCACATACTGTACATTATTGTTTTTCCTCTCTGCCACCCCCTCCCCCCCTTTCTGAAACGCGTCAATTTTTACAAAGCTCATCGTTCTGAAAAGGGGTGCTCTGATTGGCCAGCTATCCAGTGCATTGTGATTGGCCAAATACCCGAATACCTCAAGTGTGGAAATGTTACGCCTCTTACCATATCTGGAAACACACACAGCATCTCCATGACATGGCAGCGGCAACAATACTACAGCGAGTTACACCTTTCTTTGCGTAAACATTTGGTCGGTGTTATGCAAATCTTCCCACACAGTGACGTAGACATGTGGGGTAGAGGTCTGCTACCCGACCCGAGCCCGACGGGTCCCGAAATACTTTCAGGTTTCGGGTGGGGTTCGGGTTAATGTTTAATGAATAGCTTCGGGTTCGGGCTCCGGTTTATAGCTAAACTAAAACTATATGCAGGCTACGCTGCTTTCATAGACGCACGCACACACATTATAGCACACAACAACACAGCACGGAAACGTTTATTAGTAAAATAGCTTCGACAGGCTACTGACTCGCAACGTTATATTTCTCTGCAATGAGGGGGTAAAATCACTGTTTTTGAGCAACTAAGCCTCATTGCTTGTAGAGAGAGACGCGCAGACTCGCTCATGCGCGCTAATTCAAATAAATGATATAATTAATTAATTCAAATAAATGCGATCTTACCGCACTGCATCTCTGTGACTGATTTAAAGCAGGCCGAATGCTAACGAGTCTTAACTGATGAAAAATTACCATAATTTGCATGATGGAAGAATTATCGTCTTGTCGTATACAACCATTTTCTCGGCAGAATTTATGTGACCGCTGCACCTGATGTTCGTAAACTTTCATAACTGGTAAGTGTTTCTTCTTTTGCCTTGTTAACTGGCCGAGCCTTAATGATTCTGTTCCTTTACATGTATTTGCTTACTGACCGTTGCATGCAATCGTGAAATACAGCATTTTTTTAAATTGGCTATTCGTTGTGAAAAAAAAAAAAAAAAGATGTCAGGTTCGGTCTCTAAATTTAACTGTGCCGGTCGGGTCAGACGATCTCGGGTATGGGCCGGGTTCGGGCTTCACTTTAAAGCCCGTGCAGACCTCTAATGTGGGGGCGTGTTTAAACGAGGCATTTTAGGAAGGCGTGGACGAATCTTAACTTTTATAAAGAATAACACATTTTATGGTGGTTGTTTGCACATTGCTATTTGGTTGCTGCATTTTGGGTGGTTTCTAAAGCCACACCAAAAAAGCGTAACGGCTAATGCTAACACTGCGACTTTGGTGGTACGCAGGTAAGGAGACCTTTGTATGATTGCCTCACATGATCCAAGTTAGCTGTTACGGTTTTTCCAGTGGTAAGTACTACTGACCCTCGCATCTCCCAGTAAAAAAACAATCTCTGGTGGTTTCTTGAAGCTGGCTAGGTAATTGCGTTCTCTGTGGTTGATAATGTTCCAGGTGGTTTCTATGGTGTTTTGGGTGGCTGTCAGGTCATTGCTAATGTATGTTATTGATTAGTTGCTCTGAGTAGTTGTTAGTACAATGCTAATTTCATTCTTGTGGTTGCTTACCTCCTGAGTCCTTAAATGTAAACTGTTGGCTTGTCTGTCACTATTCCTACATTAAGTGGACTGTATAATTGAAGTAAAGGAGTGAATTCATTCAGCGTGATGCTAATAGGCAATCTCTAGCAGCTAGCAATTATAGGACTGAATAATGTCCACTTTATGGACACCATGAGACTTTTTCAGCCATTTTAACGTATCCCTTGTAAAAATTGTAAATCTGAACTAATTTGTCGCACAAAGGGTTTTTTAAAAAATAGTGATAGTATCTTGTCTTGGCAAACACTACTAATAATGATTCAAATGTAAACCATTAGCATGCTATGAGACCGCTTTCATCAGGTTTGAGCCCCCCTTGGTTTGTGCTATCTGAGTCACTCTTCTAAAGATAGTTTTAAACGAATGTCGTTGGAGATAATTTAACACTGATTATTTTGTGGTGATTTTTTTTTTAACCACAGACTGGAATTCTACACCGATATAATACATACACATGAACGGTTGGAACATGGAAGGTCTGTAGAGGAAACACATTAACGCTTTGCTGACTCAACCAGAGTCACTCATTATTGTTGGCTTGGAAACCGTGAGAGAGTACAAATGTGGTTAACATATCACACGGCAGGGAACAACTTCCCCCGGGCTTACATCAACAGATTTCTGCTGGATCAGTTAAAAGCGGTGTTGAAGCCGGGTACACTTTCAAAACAGTTGATTTTGGAAATTTTGTTTTAAGATTTCTCAACGCTAATGTCTTCCAGACCTTGGCTGGTTTCAGACTGTATTTCAGTGTTTCGGAGTAAAGACATGTTTGTATTCCATCAGTATGTACCAAAATGCAAACCACTTTCATAACACTTTTGATCGATTAAACATTTGAATCACTTTTTTTCTCACATAAACCTATCATATTGCCTCAGATGATTTTGAATATCATTCACTGGTAGTATTTACTTTAGAAGAATGGTTCACCCAAAAATGAAAATTTGTTTAAAAATGACTCCTCTCCATCCAAAATGCAGTTTGTTTCTTCATCAGAACAGATTTGGAGAAATTTAGCATTATATCAGTTCCTCACCAATGGATCCTCTGGAGTGAATGGGTGCCGTTAGAATGAGAGTCCAATGATAAAAACATCACAATAATCCACAACTGATGTCACATGGACTATTTTAATGATGTCCTCACTAGTTTTCTGGGCTTTGAATGTGTCAGTTGCATTGCTGTCTATGCAGGGTCAGAAAGCTCTCGGATTTCATCAAAAATATCTTAATTTGTTGTTCCGAAGATGAACAAAGGTCTAACGGGTTTGGACAG